AGGAAGTTCCGTCTGAACATGAGGAAGAACTTCTTCCCTCTGAGGGTGACGGAGCACTGGAACAGGCTGCCCAGGGAGGTTGTGGAGTCTCCTTCTCTGGAGATATTCAAGACCCGCCTGGACAAGGTCCTGTGCAGCCTGCTCTGGGTGACCCTGCTTCGACAGGGGGGTTGGACTAGATGACCCACAGAGGTCCCTTCCAACCCCTACCGTTCTGTGATTCTGTGTGGCAGAGGTAAGAGCGTAGGAGGCTCTGGAGAAGTGACTTTTTAGGTCTTCGAGCCTTGGTAAGCTGTGAGCTACATGTAGATCGGGCAGTTCAGTACGCAGCAACGGATGGTAGATGGGCAATGGAGATAAATGTGGGTTAGAAAAAAGATGTGTTCATTAGAGTTACAGAGCCCTGAGGGAGAGCAGGAGAAAATGGTTAGCGCTAAACCTGCACTGAAGTCCCTCAGAAAGGAAGCTGGGGTAGCTCAGACCAAGACGGGCTTTTGGTCTGTCTGCAGTTTGCAGTGGGACACTGGGGACAGGCTTATGATCACATCAGTCTACTTCATGGCCATGTCAGTTGAGTGGTATTCTGGGTGGCAAAATTATATTAATTCACTACCTAATATACATATCCTGTCTCATAAATTAATTATTGAAAAAATTTAAAAATGCAGAGAAGGTGAAGCATTTTTCTTACAATGTTAGAATGTTCTTTTCTTTTCAAAAGAACTTGATCGTTGGGTGACCCATGCCATTTAGCAAACTGCTTTGGCTCATGTTGCAGTGTTTACACACCACTTTAAAGTAATGTAGCTAAGTCATGGGCTTGATTCTATAATATATTTCACTTTCATGTGTTCAGAGTATTTTGCCTTTTTATTAGAAACGAGCTTAGATTTGTCTCTGAGTGGAATGGCCAGTGAAAGCAGCACTACTGTGTTTTTATATAAGATTCACGTTGCTTGTAGTTAATTGGAAGGATGTTTCTGGCAAGCTTATAAATGTGTATGAGGGCAAGATTACCTTGATGTTTCAAAGAGACAGTATTTCGTATTAAAGACATATTTTTTTATTGTGTTCATGGAAAGGGATGTTTCTGTGGGAGGATAGCTTTTTCTGATGTGGTGATTAATGTGGATTTCATGTTTTGTCATGGCATTCATTGTGAGGCATTTAACAGGCAGTTATCATGAAGGTATTATCTGTAGGACTGGCAGAATGCGTAATCTTCAAGAAAGGTGAAATATATTTTTATTGCAAGGAAAATAGTAACACGGTTGGAATCTTACTTGAAGTACAGAAGTGTTGCAACTCAGTTGTATGCATGGGAACGTTCTACTTTCCCTGTCCCCCCAACCCACAAGCGTTCGGGTGTCCCTGTCCATTCTGTGACGATAATCCTGTTAATAGTCAGGTATTGTGCGTGTTTCCAAAACACAGCCTCTGCTTTGTGGCCAGAATCTCCATCATAAACTAAAGCAATTGAGGTTTCCTCCCAACCTGTCTGATAAACTTATCTGTAGACTTGGACTGTCACAACCCTGACCGCTGTTCATTAATGCCACTGCATGTTACTTAAACTGATGGCACATCTTGACTTGCGTTTGAAATGGTTTGGTTTAAGTCAAACCGAAGTGTGCACAGCTAACGCTTCTCTTCTTGTGAGGATGTGTCACAGGTAAAAGTATTTTATAATTTCTTAAGGGATAAAATGAAGTCTTAAGGTAGAACTGCTCTGAAGCTTATTAATTAATTCTGAACTTGGGAGTATGTAAGTGACGTGAAGATTAGAGTTCATTGCTTCAAGAGCCTCCTCAGTACATAGTTTATTTCTAATGCTGCATGCAAGAAACTCTTTCACCTGTTTTGAGCTTTGACTGCTAAGATGGGTACGTTAGCCTTGAAGAATCATTGCTATCTGGTATGGAGAAGAGTCAGTGTAAGATTTTTTTCGGTGAAACCAGAGACTCCATATGCTGAGTAGCCCAGCATAGCAGTTCGTGTGCCAGAGTTTTCAGCTCCTTTAGCCTAGTGTTGGGGGTGCAATTCAGAGCTGTTCGTGTTTTTAGAAAATGAAGCTAATATTGTTTGGGCTTCTGTTACAGTATTTCTAGAGAATATTGCAGAACCGTTTCTTTCAAAAAGATAAAAATTTTAGAAGTGTCACAATATATCAAAAATAGTGGTAAGAACAATGGAGACTTCATTATTCTGTAACATATAGAAGTTAAAGTTTTGCCAGCTAATATTTAGTGTTAATACTTGATATTGACCCTGCTAGAAACAGCTAAGATTTTTTTTTTTAAAGCTTTACATTTTTTATTTTTAAATTGTCATCTTCAGTTACGAGGCTTCTGTTCACTGAGAGGGTGGACTTTGTTACATGCTAATACTGTAGGATGAAGCTGTGTTCTGGACAGTGTGTCTGTCACTGCTGAAATCATAGTTTGACTTTGACTTTGGTTTGCTGAATGTTCCATTTCACTGCATATTCTTTCTTTCTTTCTTTTTTTCCAAAGCTATTCAATGTCAAAGGTAAAATCTGGACTTAAGTGTTTAGTTGCTGGGTGTCCATTCAGAATTTGATGTGAATTGGTTTGCTCTGTTAGCTGGCAACAATTAGTATGGCATGTGCTCTCTCTGAGAGTGTGCTAAGTGAACTGAGAGGTTTTCACCCAAGTGTGTGTTTTTCCATTAAAACTGGTTTGCTTTGTTTTAGCTTTTTATCTTAGATTAGCTACTATATTCCGCAGTATGTGGCAAACGAAGCATGCGGCGTGTTGTCCTTTACTTAGAATTACTGCTGATGTTAGACAAAAATGGTAACTTCTTTCAAAATCCTTTTTCTTCATTTTGCCAGTTTTGTTGTAGGAGGCAAAGACAGATTAGTGGATGAAGCATAAAAAGTGTTGGAAGAAACTGTATTTGCAAAATATTACTGAAATTGGCAAAGCAGGACTTAGCAGAAATTTATTTGTATTGTGGCTTCTGTCAATCTTTTAAACTTCTGTTTTGTTTGTGCAAAACCTTCAAATTATGGAATATTTAGCTCTGAGGAGGCTGTCTCCCAGAGTTCTTCAGCCTCGAATTGAAGCGAATTACTACAGTCTGATCAGAATTTTGCAGCAGAGCAAAAAAGCAAATTCTTTCTTAAAAATGTAAGTGGGTGGGTGGGTTGTTGTCTTGAAAACCAAAGCAAAACACTCTTAAGGCCTTCCTTGCTTGCCATGGAAAATTAAAACAAACAAACAACAAAACAAAACTGTTCATGCAACTGTTTTTTTTTTAAGAGTTATATTTAAAGAGGAATTGGTTTGAAACATAGACTACATGTGTAAGTTGCATACTCTATGGTAGCTATTCAGTGGTATGTAATGGTATCTAGGTGGTAGCTAATATTGGTGTATGGTTTTCATACATTTTAGTTTCGTCCATTGAGCAGATTTTTTTTTAAAGTATAGTGAGTTTCACTGTTTTATCTTAAATAGTGAATTAAACTTTTGTCTTGCAGAAGTCGGCATTTGTGTTAACTCTGCCAAGGTATCTTCTGAATTTAGGGTGACTAACCATCATCCCAGTTAGATGTATGTCTTAGCAGCACCAGGAGATTTTCCTTCACCTATTAGCTGCTCATTTTATTGTCTTATAACAGAATGATAAAATATGTTTTTATAAGAAATACGGCATGTTGATGATAAAAAAAAACATGAAAAAGGCAGGCATTTTTGGAGACTGCTAGAGATGCTGATTCTATTCTGTTTTGAACTGATAGAGATCTCAAGTTGGTAGTGAATTTTAAAGAATAGCTTAATTGAAATCACACTATATTAATACTATGTAATTGAGCTTGAGGTTGGCCCAATAGACAAATGCATTCCATCTTCAAGTTTTGGAATAGCATGTCGTGAGTGAAAAATGAAATAAAATGTTTGAGGTGCAATTTGCATATTAAGCCAGTGACCTGAAGGGGTTTCATGCCTTCCTGGGTGTCCGAGTCGTTTTGATGTTAGTCCTTGTAATTTTGCTAAAATGCACTTTGTTGAGCAGAAGATAACCAGAAAGTCTTGCATTAATTTGCTTTTGTTTTTGCTCTTTAGACAGTGCCCTGTTATAAACTAAAATCACACATTCCTGAGTGTAAGCTGATCATGTTCCCAATGGAAATTTCAGGAATACTTGTGGCTACTTTCAAAATGTGGAAATCTATTTATATTTTTTCCACTTGTTTTTCTTCCTAGGTTTTGGCACTGATTGCATTCATCTGCATAGAGACCATCATGGAGTGCTCCCCTTGCGAAGGCCTGTATTTCTTTGAGTTTGTGAGCTGTAGTGCATTGGTGGTTACTGGAGTTCTGTTGCTTATGTTCAGTCTAAATCTTCACACAAGAATACCGCAGATCAACTGGACTCTTACTGTAAGTTCACACAAATCCTCACTCAGTTAAAATTAGCTGCAAATCTGTTTTTAAGTTTGGTTCTTTGAACTTTTCACTGTTGTTGAACATTGTGTGTAAGTGTTCTTTATGCTGAGTCAAGTATACATTTTACTTGTATTTACTTTGAATACTAGCAGCAGAATGAGCTTTGAAATGCAGCAAGATTAAACTGCATTAAATAGAACTAAAATTGTCTTCTGGATTCTCTTTGGAAGCAAAAACTTCCTGCTAATGCCAGCAGTTGCTGTTTGTGGATGAAAATGCAGCCTGTAGTTATTTAACGTTGACCGATTCTGTATTTACAGTAGCCCGTTGTTCTCTCTTAAGCTGTTTTTTTATATTAGGACAGCCATGCTACATACACTTTCTTACACAGATGAATACAGTCATGGGGTAGTAGTGTAGAAAAATTACGTGCTTTTGGTGAAAATCAGGTGTTTTGAATTGCTTACACGCATAACTATTAAACATTGACTGGCAATGCTTAATGTGTTCTCAAATACGTGGAGTTTTAGGAAGTGAACTGCTGGCAGTGCACATTCCTTTTGTACAAGTCTCTATTTCCATGCTATATTATGAGTTAAACTTCCAGATTGGGTAGCATAAACAAAGGTCACAAAATCAACATGTTAGTCACTCTAGCAAAAGATCTGTCAGCTTCAAGTACAATATTTATATCAGCTGCTTTGGATGATGCAGATAAATATGTGCCTATGTTCAGTTTTATTTTATAACAGTAATTTTTGTAAGTACTGTTGGAGATCAGTCCCAGAGGTTTTTAGGATCCTGTGTGATTTTTTAAAATTGGTTTTTAATTTAATTTATTGATGTTGCAATTTGCATGTTTGCAGTAACTGTTTATAAGCCTAGATGACTTGTCTAAAATAAGACTGGAATGTGGAAGTAGATGATTCTTTGTACCCTGGGGATGCATGACCTCTTGAGGAACTCTTCATCAGAGTACTTGGTAGATAGATGAGGTGAATGGAGAACTGTGGCTGGTAACTGTAGGTGGGCGAGATCCAGGTGGCTTGCAACACAAAACCAGTGGAACCACTAGAATGTTACTAGGTTGTCTTGCCTTTGCTCCTTCTGTCTCCATTCTGCCAGTAATGTCACCGCTTATCTTCGTGGCAAGCTGAGAAGCAGCAGCTGCAGACAGAAGGTGATCTCTGTGTTGTCAGCGTGGTTTTTTAATGAGCATTACAACAGTCTGACAGCTGATAACAGCAATTGAGGACCTTCCTTTTACACCACACAGTTCTGCACGTGCTAGTAGGATGCACAAGAGCATGGTAACACGTGTGTGTAAGTGCATTGATGTCACATAAAATACATGGTGGTTTTTGCTGGTGAGATGCAAGTGGTTTCACAGTGAATACTAGATCTAGCTTATGGTCAGCGTAAGTTTGACCAAGACTTTTTATCAAGAGACCAGAGAGTGGTATGCATGGTGTCCATGAGCGAGCTAAAGTTGCATCTCTGGAAGAGTCCGTTTAGTGACTTGGTTCTGTTTCTCTGTACCTTTTGTTCTGTTGCTGGGCCCTGTGGGACACTTGTGCTGCCTCCCAGAACACTGGCAATAGGTTGAACATATGTAAGTACAGAAGCCTAGATGCAGCTCTCTGCCTTTCCCCCCAGATAATGCAGTAGATACCAGTGTGTGACTGGTAGGTCCTTTCAGCCACTCTGACTTCTTGAGGGACAAGAATTGCTGCTTTGAGTGCAGTATTACTTGTCTCTGCACAGCATGTTAGAGATCGTTAGAGAAAAGAGGGCTTAAAAATCCAGCCAGTTGTGGTGTGGGATATTTTGTTTGTTTGTTTTTGTTTTGTTTTTTTAAAAAGCAAAGTATTTTGGGTTTTAGGGCAATGGCTACGCTCTGAACCCCCTACCTAAACAGCATAGAGCAACATGACATGGTCAGCGTTCAACATGAAGGCCAAATGGAATACAGTGCAAATGCTTTTGCTTAGTTCATACTGCCAGATCAACAGAGGTGGAAGTCAATTGTCATGATCTCGCAAGTCTCATTCTTTTAGTTATGTACTGAAGGTGAAATGCTGCTGCCATCATTACACCAAAGATGGCTAACAGAAGTGAGAACTGGAAGCTTTTGAATTCTATTAACTGATGAGACTGACCTTCTTCCTGGTATTGCTTACTGAGTTCAACAGTCGCTAGTCTGATAGGACTGTTACTCTGAGGGGAGTGTGGGAGTATCTTCGTTATTCCGATAGCTGCAGTCTGCTGTTGTGTGTACAGAGTGGGAGATCCACGGCTGCTGATAAAACACCTGTGGGAGATTGCTGTGGCAAAGTTAGTGGGAAATTTAAGAATGTAGAGTTGTGGCTGAATGGTTATTTGGCTTATTTTGGCATTTTATTCTTTACAACTTAGATGTGTTCATACATTACTTGTGTCCTTCAATATTTAGTACTTTCCTGAGTTTTAATGGTTACTTTGATAATTTTGCAACTTCTATATATAACACAGTTATCACAGGAGTTGCTTTCTGAACAACAGACTTTCACACTCCTGAATGCTTTAGGAGGAAGTCACTCCTGCTTACGTATAAATTCAATAATATACATGCTTTAAGAAAATATGTATGACTTTATAATTGGTATTTCCCTTGTGAAAAGTCTCAAGCTTTGCTGTGTGAGAAGAGGCTGTTACTGTGCTTGAAAGAATTCAAGAGTCTTAAATTTAGGAAGAAGTTAAACACAGCACAAACTTCCTGGGAACCATTTGAAACCATTTGCTTTCAAACGATCCTACATATTAGAAAGTACCAGGCCATCAACAGCTATTGTCCAACACAGGATTGTTTCCTTTAGTACTTTATTAAAATTAGATTTCTTTCTAGTTTGTTGTAAATCTTGTCTGGTGTCGGCTGTGCCTGGTTGGAATTAAAATGTGGATCAGTATATACTAGCATCTAACAGATATGCAAATTTACTGATTTTTTTTATATATTTATATTTAGCCATTTGGGGAAAAGAGCTTTGTTTTGATCCTAATTAGAGACTTGCCAACCATTTTCACATTTTCATGAGGTAAACATGAAAGAAATATGGAGATGGTGAGGCCAGAAGAAAACCTTGCTTGGGAGTGTTGGAAGGAGTCAGTTCTGTTAAGTGAGATGAAAGAACAGTCACTTGTCTGTGTTGTGCAGCACTATGAGTATTATGCAAAAATGCAAAAGCTGGGGAACCTGTCAGTGGAAATTTCCATCTCCTTTATGCTTCACAGCTCAAAGGGAGCCTGTTCTGCAAGGAGACTGGCAAGTGGCACAGGGGAATGAAGAGCACACCACAGCAGAGATTGCTGCTTAACCGATGAGCTGTTGATTTGAAATGGTTGTTTTCAGAGTTAACTAATAACTGAATGCTTGCTATAATTTTGTGTTTGGCTAAGTTACACGTTTTTTTAAATTCATTGTTTGAATCTCATGTGATCTACAGGAAGACCTTGCAGCCAAACTGTGTGCATGACATGGCCCTTTAGAAGTAGGGGCGAGGTAGGGAAGCTAACAAAGTGCCTGTAGCAACTTTGGTGTTCTGGTGAATTTGCGTGTGGTTTGCCAGGCTTTGAGAGCCGCTGTCCCTGCAGAGCAGATCCACCGTAATGCTGTGGTACCTGTTTTCAGGGCTGACAACTGAGATGACTTGGGGAGGGGGAGAAGTGATGGGAAATAGCTGAGAATACTGGAATTTGACAGTGTCTCTTGGATGAGAGTTTGTATGATGAGAGAAATCTGAGTCATTACAGATATAAATTATTGCATAATCAGCCAGGAGAATGGACTATTTGTGGCTGTGTGTAGGAAAAAAAATTTCCAATAGATTTTGACCAGTGATTTTTAATTTTTTTTTTTTTTTAAACATCCACTGGAGCTCTGGTAGTGTATTCTGTGAGTGTGCAGTTCTGAATACAGAGTTTTTCAGCCTAGAGCAGCCTTAAAGATGAGGCACAGCAGCTGAGCACTGCACAAATTAAGTTTTGCTGGGCTGATTAGCCTGGACTCAGTCCCAGGGAAGCACTGCTGCAGGGAGGAAACATCAGGAGTCAGGTGTGTCTCTTAGAAGACACAGATTAGTGGTTGTATTTTCTGCTGCCTGAAAACTGATTTCATCATCTTTGCAGGATTGGTTTTTTTTCAGTTGTTGCAGTGATGAAACCCTGTGTGCAAGCAACAGATACTTCAAGTAATTGGCAGAAAATTTGGTGTGGTGCCAGAATGACAAACTGTCTTATGCCAGCCTTGGCTCTGAAGAGTGTAATTACAAAGCTGTAGTTCAAAGGTCTTCACAGGGCAATCTGAATTTCTTTTTTAATTTATTTTTTTCCCCTTTTTGTATTGAAAAAAAATCTTGGTTTTCTTTGGGTTGTTTAGCTGTTGAATGAGAAATGAAGTCAGTCATCCTTTTGTGTTTACTGCTGTCAAAATAGCAATACCTATTAAGGATAAAAATGAATATTTCATAAATTTAAAAAAATTGTCAGAATTAATTTCCTCTGGATTAGTGCTTTTTGTGTATGGTTCTCATTTAGTGCAGTATGGTGTGAATGATGCATTATTCTGTAAGAAATACAAACACAGGTTTTAAATACAAGAAATATTACATGGTTTGGTAGTTACTGCTAGTAAGATCTGTTGCTCTGTGGCAATAACTGCTGATCCTGTCTGTGAGCAGGGCTGCTTACTGGAAAAACATGCAGGGAAAGCAGTGAGGAGCATCTAAGAAAGAACTGAGGGGGAGGCAGGTAGATCATCTTCAAGAAACCAAAATGCATTGGGGATTGTAGAAGCATTCATTCAGGAACATGTTTTGTCATTTACGGCAGTTACTACATCTAACAAAGCTTGTATTCCAGCTCAAAAATAGTTAGAAATAAGAATACAATCGTATGAATCTTGGTTTTGAGGCCACTTCTGCTATTTTTTTCAAAATCATAGCTCATCCCTGACCTTT